TTTAAAAGTAACGGTAAGTCATCCAACGGCTAGGATGCTCCACATCAACTTGCTTAATTAAATAATGTTTAGGAGGGAAAATTTGAATTAGGGGATATTTAGAGATTTTGTAAGTTTCTTTGGGCTTTAATTAGTCTTTTGGAGGCTAGGGTTTGGTTATGTTGAGATTTGCTGAAATTTTGAGATCTATGGTTTATTTTGTGTAGGCTCTAGGCTTTGCTAGAGATTTGGAGAGTATTTCTTCCTCTCGAATTAAAGAAATTTGTATCTTGCTTTGTTTTTCTTGTTCGTGGATTAAATCAAAGTATTTCTCTTGTATTTCTTCTCCAATCTACTATATTTCCTACATGATTTTTGCTGATTTCTCTTTGAAATCAGTTATATTTCTCGTTGTTTTTGCCAATTCTTGCCAGGTTTGCTTGCGAACTCAAGTATTGCCTTTAGGGTTACTTGCGAACTCAAGTACTTCCTATCATAAAGCAATAACCACAGAAATCGCGATGTAAGGGTGCTTTAAAGGGATAAAGTGTGCATATTTGCTCAGACGATCCACTACTATAAGCATCACCGAAAATCCCATCGAGCAAGGCAACCCCTCGATAAAATACATCGTCACCTCCTCCCACCCTCTCCGACAGAGCTAGAGGTTATAGTAACCCATCTGGCATCATGGCTAAGTACTTGTGCCTCTGGCACACATCTTGCTAACCAGTCAGCTACATCACGACACATCCCCACCTAATATAATTCTGTTGAAAATTGGTTGTAGGTATTCTAAGCCTCTGAATATCCTCCAACTAAGCTGCCATGAAACTCATACAACAGCTTATATCTCGACCCCTCGTTAAAATGAATCTCTCATGATGTAGTTGTTGGGCTCCTCTAAGGGTGTAACCAAGATGACTATTTGGGTTCTGCAACAATTGGGCTATGATCTTCCTCAGTCCCTGATCCTGCTCACTCTCATGTTTAAGAACTTCCCAATATAGAACCATAGGTATTGGCAGAGCTATCAACAGTGGCTCATCTGTCTTCTGTAATAGTGTATCCATGTCCTTATTCTCCAGTTTTGGGCGATACTGAATCTTGAAGTCATTTCCTAATAATTTGGGCAGTCACATCTGGTGCTCCTCAATCACTAACATCTGCTACAGTAGAAAATTCAGGCTCCTATGATATGTTCTGACAATAAATTTCTTCCCAACAAATATGGTTGCTACTTTTGGATGGAAAAGACAATCATCATTAACTCCCGCTCATCTACGGACTTAAGCTTTCCCAGCTGGCTGGTAATGAACACCTGACTGAAATAAGCAATGGGCTAATGATCATACATGAGCACTGCTCCTAGCCCATATCCTGATGCATCCGTCTCTATCACAAATGGCCTGCTAAAGTCAGGAAGTGTTAATATTGGCATGCTGGTCATAGCTTTCTTCAACTGCACGAAAGCCTATCGTCACCTCCCTCCAATTGAAATTGTACTTCTTCAGCTACTCAATCAATGACCATGTTATTATGCCATACTTTGACACAAACTTATGGTAGTACCCAGTAAGGCATAAGAACCCTCTCAGCTCCCTCAGGTTCTTAGGTAAAGTCCAATCCAACATAGCCTTAATCTTGGCTAGTTTGTTGCTACCCCAGCTTTGCTCACCATATGTCCCAGGTACTCCACCTATGAATGTACAAATGAACATTTCTTAAGGTTGATATATAGCTGGTGCTCCCTCCACATCTCCAATATAGCCCTTAGGTGACCCGCATGCTCTACCTCTGCACGACTGTAGATCAGTATGTCATAAAAAAATATCAAGACAAACTTTCTGAGGTAAGGTTGAAAAACCCAATTCATGAGGGACTAAAATGTGATTGGAGCATTGGTAAGACCGAAAGGCATCACCAAAAACTATAGTAACCCTCATGTGTCCTGAAAGCTATCATGTGCACATCCCTCGGCTTCATTTTGATTTGTTAGTATCTTGATTTAAGATCAAACTTTGAGAAAATGACCGCCCAAAATAGCTCATCTAGCAGCTCATCAATCACAAGGTTAGGAAACTTATCCAACACAATTTCCTTATTTAGGTCCTTAAAGTCCACATAAAACCTCTAATTGTTTTTCGTTTTCACTAGTAAAACTAGGATGGAAAAGGCTCACACTTGGCTTGATAATCCTGACCTCCAAAATCTATATGATGAGACTCTATCTCATCCTAATGAATATATAGGTACTAGTACGGTCAGACACTAATAGGAGAAGCTCCCTCCTTCAAGGTAATAGCATTCTTATGCTCCCGAGATGGCGGTAATTCGTTAGGCTATTGAAAAACCTTAGGAAACTACTGTAGAAGTTTATGTACACATTCAGGGACCTTGACTGCCTCAAAATCTTGGATCCCCGCGCTACAACTCTACCAAGTAGCCCAGCCCTACCTATATCGTCTTGACCATGATTTTGAGTGAAACCATAGGTCTGCATAGGCTGACATTCCCTCGCAACACCACTTCCCCTCCACATGAATCTCTATAGTCAAGGACTTTCAGTCCACCTTGGTCTTCCCGATCGTCTGTAATCACTTCATTCCTAGGATCACATTAGTGCTCCCTAAATACAAGGGAAAAAAAATCCTCCACTATCTGTATGCCTTAGAGTGCCAGCACCAACATCCTGCAAATCCCCCTACTCCTCTGTACATTTCATGTTCCCATCATGCTCCAAAGCTCCCTGTATCCACCAACTTTAATCCCAATAGGTCTACGATCCGATTGGAGATAAAGTTATGAGTAATCCAGCTATCCAGCAAGACCACCACTAGATGCTCCTTTATCTGCCCCCTCACTTTTATGGTGTGATTTGGAGTAAATCCCGCCACGGAATTAAGAGATACTTCCACCACATCAAGGTGTAGATGCTCCCCTCCTTTTTCTTCCTCCACCAGATCCTCAATGTCGGTCTCTTCCTCCTCGCAATCCATAAAGACCTAGAGTGTGTGGTCATTGCACCGATGATCTGATGCATACTTCTCATCACAGTGAAAACATAGACCTTTCACTCTCTTGTCTTGCACATTTGCCTCTGTGAGGCGCTTGAAGTTGGCCCCGGGGAGAATTCTCCCACCTTTCTCCCTCGATGGTGGTTGTAAGCTCCTCCCACGAACGGATCGAGAATCTAGCCTACCTCCACTAGAACCAAGCGAGGGCTTTCCTCTCCACATAGCCCCTATGGCTGTAAGCTTCTCCTCTCTCAATTCGTTCACCGAAAAATACCTCTCCACCCAGTATACCCACCCATGGGCATCCTCCCCTTCGAACACCGACATCTTCAACTTCCTCACCTTCGCTTCTTCACCCCAACTTCCTCTCCAGCCAATGGTTCCTTCATGTATCAAGGGTGGTAATCCAAACTTTCTTCCATCCAACTCCCACGACCCAATCCCCATGGCTCGACTCATCCCCAACCCACCACCTCTACCAAAAAAATCCCTTCTTGCTGGCCCCCCCATCTGGTAGCCCTAGGAGGTGGCTCATGATGAAAAAAAATTTCCTCGTTGAACTCTTCCCGTTTGATCTATTTTCCCTTAGATTCGGCCAAGAGAACCCTGATCAAATTGTAGCGAGGGTTAGCAATCGGAACCGCCAGTGGGGCTTTAGATTGCAACTCCATGAGCTTCTTGAATATCTCTTTATCTCTCCCAATCGGCTTGGCTATCCATCTGATTCTCCATAGTTGAAAATCTTTCCTCCATCCTAGACTTTATTTGCTCTCATTCCCCTTCCAACACATCCACCTTTGTTGTTATCTCTCCAAAACCTCACTTTGATATTAATTTAATATATCTTGGATGTAAAAATAGCAAATAAGAGAGAATAAAAGTGTAGGAATACAAGGTAACAATTATTTTTTTTATTTCTCCTTCAAAAAATAAACAAGATACTAATGATCTACTATTCGGGAGGTAGATCGGCTCTCCCACAAACCCTAGAAGCATCTAGGAAACTCACAAAACACAAACTAAAACAAACACATCATATAATACTGAAAATATAACATAGTTCTCCCTAAATAAGCTCTCATAATTCCCTTCTAAATCAGCCCATTTCCATACTTGATTTCCTCCCCAATTTGAATACCTAAAATCTCCTAATCATGAACTGTGATTGACACTAATGGCTAATTGATCTGCATGAATTAGGAACAAATCTTGAGACCCATTCCTTCCTTTCTAGGATTTGTTTGTGTAGTTACATATGGAGGGCCATTTTTTAGGATTTCTCAAGCTATGGTTTAGATGACTCCACCCTCTAGAATTAGAATTTTGTGTATGTCGAACAAGTAAGAAATACCCCTGTTGGTCAACTTCTTTGTTGAGCGTGGATGTCTGGAGTTGGGAAGGGATTGTGAGTACACTTACTATGCACATCATGTTTGCAACTTTTGTGCTTTTAAGTAGATCAGAACCTACCTCTTCTTTTGTACATCATGTTTACGGCTTTTGAGTTTTACATGGATCGGATCCTGCCTCCTCTCCATAGACTTAAGATTGGTTGAAGATAAATCATGTCAGTAAAATCTGAATTTTTTTTATTCTGTTCTCTCTTCTGTATCTTTGTAATGCATCATTCTCAATCCTAGTGATACTTCCACAAATCATCTTTTGACGCCTCTCATTACAACCCAAACTATCTTACTTTCACAGTCAGAGACAGATCATAGGATCAGCCCATATAGTAATAATATGGGCAGAATGCAGTCATCCTTTATCATAATTCACCCAGACGGGTAAGTGCTCACAATTCTGGCTTCTCTGACTATCTCAATAGATGACTAGACAACAAAATAAGTACCCAAGAACTATAACTGGATATTAAATATACTTAAGAGATACGCTCAGTCAAATATTTGAGAGAAGTGTAATACAGGGGTGATGACACAAAAGAATATTTTTTACAAAAAACTATAAATAATATTCACTTAAGGCCCAGATTTGATAACTTACCTTCTTTCTCCGTTTATTTTGCCTCTGACGCCCATTATCCTTATTTTTTGGAGGATTCGGTTTCTGTTACATTGAATGGTCTTCACTGACCTGTCATCTAATTAACTTACAGAGAATAAATAAGCAAAGATTGTGTACCTGAGACACAGCTAGAATTCGAGCATGCCTTTCAGCATGGGTCTCTTGCTCCTCCTCAAGTTCCCCATCGCTGTTTAACATTAATTTCAGCCTACCCTCATCATGCAGCTTTTTGGACCGAGAATGCCTCTATGAAAAGCATTAAAAACAATTTCCATAGCTATTTTAGAGAAATAATTGTAGCATTTACAAGTATATTTATTAATTGAATTAAGCTTCATTTGATTATTGTTTTCTACCTGTTTTTAAGTAGAAAAGCAAAAAATATAAATCATGGTTATTTGGGAAAAAAGACAATTTTCCAAGAACTTGTTTTAAAGAATGAAAAGAGGAGATCAGTTTTTTTAAATTTCTGAATGGCATAAGCCATACCAAATGAAGCCTTAGGATATATTAGATATCAAAGTTTAAGGAATTTGGAATCAAGGACATATAAAACTCTTGAAAACAGTATATCAAGCTTACTTTTGAAGAAAGGTGTGTCCTGACAGTGTCTTCATTTAAGCAGAGAACTCTTGGGCAAAGTCTACACTTGAACACTGACTTAAATTTTAGAATAAAGTTGGAAATATCAGTCTGAACAGGGTAATTTGGATCTATCGTCATCCCTGTCATTTCGGGAGCAATCTCAACTTCATTATCAGGTACCTTGCCAACTATCATGCTAACTTTGATGTTTCCACCACTCGCATTTTCCTCGTTAGAAAGTAAATCTAATCATAGTATGGAGATCAACATGACAGAATTCTATTAGCCGAATCAACATAAAATTTATGATATTATAGCAATAGTTGCATAAAAAAATGCTTCTATGCACATCAAACAAAAACAAAACTCATTGATATCTTGATTAGATAAAAGAACTTCATCAGATTTCTGGGGTCAAAAAAGCCCTGCTATAGGCTCAAGTGGATGAATATAAATTCATTCTATAGGCGAACTCATTTGTTAAACCAATTCATAAAAAGCTTCACGCCATAGCCATCACAAGGTTATTACATCTTAAGAATCCAAAAATTAATTACTCAAAATAAAGATGCACAACGTAAGTGCATATAACAAGTAAACTTCTAGAGCTCAAAATAAATTAAATTGGATTAATTGTTATTTAAGATTCAATAATTTCCATAATGGAAAAATAAAAGATAGAACTAAAAATTGGTCAATATAATGCTCACCCTTCATCAAAATGAACCAAACACAAACACAAAGGAGAAAATTTAGAAGATAGAACTATATCCAGAAACTTGCTAGAAGGCAATCTGAAATGTAGCAATACATAACATAATTATCTCAAATAGATCAACCACAAACAAATAAAGAGAAGAACAATATGAAATACAATAACTATTGTTTTCATCATTAGATTAGAAAAATATTCCACAATGTTTTTAGATAATGCAATAGTGCAAGTATGTCTTCAACTCTCAAGACTCCGAAAGAAAGATCAAATCATGATAAAAGTGAAAATTTAGCACCAAATCATGAGTTCATCGCAATAAAATAAGCTGCTGGAACATGTAAATCTCAATAGAAAACACACCAATACTTCATAAGCCCCACCAACATAACTTGTGACTGAAATCAAATACTTGTAATAGAAATCTAAGATTGCACATGATAAGGTGGATCAATTTCACATTTAAAAAGTAAATTAGAATGGACGGTCATGAATAAATTATTTAGATGGCTTTTTTTCATTAGATAATTAGTACTGTTATATCTTTGTTGAATTAGTAGCTTTCAGTCCAAAAAATCGATCAGTTTACCATTAGAACAATTGATATTATCCCAATATATCTTCATCAATAAATCTTTAACATACGACCTCACTCTCAGATACACAACATGAACAATAAAGCATATGTCCACACTCCCCAGGACCGCATCACCTCATACAAACTTGAAGCTCTTTTCTTACTTGAGGGTCCTAATATGGTATTTGGTGAGAAAAAGAAAAGCATTCATCAACTTGGCACATTGCTACTCAACAGAAAGAATATCATTCCTTTCTCTAGCAGGACCAGTTTTTTTTTTCACAGAATTGTGGCAAGAGTTGTTAAATTGTCAAAAGTTGAAACTTATGGAGATGAAATAAGAATATGGCAAGTAATGATCCACAAACATATATAGTTAATGTCACATTATTGAGGCAATGTGAACTTAACAATACCTGAAGTATCGTCATCACCCTCGTTATTTGAACTATCCTCGCTCTCATAACCTGACCCTGTCAGAATAGGAAGAAATAGAACAAATGAATGATTAAAGTGCTGGGATGTCGTGAAAAGGAAAACCTGTGTGAGAAATAGCACAAAAGTGAATTTCAGATTGCAAGAGCAAGCTAAACTTAAGCTCCTAACAGATTTCAGAAGTTCAACCAGTCATTGACTAAAAATCTCAGACATGAAACAGGCTCATAAGTGAACAAAATATTTTAACAGCAGGGAAACAAATTTGTAGCCGCTTTACTCTGCTTATGTTCAAAGTTATCAATTCCTAAACTAATCTGGAAATCCATGAAATTCCCCAAACTACAAAACGCAATGCCCCAAATCATCTCTCAGGGATCAGCCAAATAACAGAAAGCCCCATCTTTAGCTGCAAAATCCCAAAATCAAAAGATATTAGTATCACAGGCAGGCATCACAACAAAACAATTTGAAGACATGTACACCCTGCTCGACCTTGTGACATATGGAATGCCTTTGATCAAGTCTTACATAATCCAGAAGCAGCATTGACCCTAAGTTGCAGCTCCCCCAAGTGAGCTCCATGTTGCGCCAGCAGTTACGTACCAACAATTACAACCAAGGCCTATGATGTAGTAGCTACTGAACTCTTTAGTTAGCCGTGACCTCAATCCGGAAGTGCAGAACATACAACTATAACACAGAACTAACACGCAAAGGAACTCAAAGAAAAACAAACACGGCCACTGGTGGTTATCACAGCATGTTTAGTTGAATCTTCCTAGCATCACTTTATGAATAGACTCAATAATCCCAAAGGATAGCATTAAACAACATTGGCCAGTCTTAATCTGCAAGAGCTACTGATGTCTAGAGCCTGGTGTGAGTAGGTACATGCACTGCTCATTATCCATCAGAAGCCTGATTAGCCACTTAACTACCTAACTCGAACTCTTTCTCCCTTCTTTTCTCCCTACTCTAATATAATTGTTTTTTTATTGTCCCTCTTCCTGTGTGCTACTTTTAAGTAATAAATATCTTATTACTTATTCTTTTTTGGTCATCACATTTTCTTGACCCAACACATGTTCTAGAGGATCTCAAGTATTTTAAAGACGATAGATTATGAACTAGTCTCATTCCAAAACCTTTAGGGGAAAAAGGTGGAGCTCATGATCCAGTTGTATGTAACAATCTAACATTGATTTAGGTATTTCATGACGATTTTTAAGATTCCCCATTCTAAGGGATTTCATTGGAGGACCTCTATTTACAAATCTCATGTAGTATCCAATCAAGGGATATCAGAGAGCCGATGGCTTCTTGATCCTTGGTGCATGGTGTTAGCAAAGAACAATTACAAACAAATCAAAATATTTTTTTTGCTGAACCCTCTACACAAAGGAAGTGGGCTACTATGACAAACCAAGAAGAAGAAATCCTTTAGTGACTTGATTTCCCATGTCATACTTCTACAACAATAGATGGCCGTGTTGATGGAGATGTTCAACCAATAAGCTCATCAACTAAAATAGGAATCAATCAACATAAATACTCGCCCATGAATGAATGTAACAATGCGATAAAGAAGAGACAACAACAAAATCAAGCATTTATCCCACCATGTGGGGTAGGCTACATGAATCATTTTTCTCTATTGTGTCATGTTAAGAATTAAATTTTCATTTAAATCTAATAAAGAAATGTCGTTTCTAATATTTTATATCCAAGTCCTTTTAGGTCTACATCTATCTTTCTTAACATAAGTTAAATCCAATACATCTACTTTCCTAACCGGGTCATCAGAAGACCGTCGTTTTATGTGACCAAACCATCAAAGGCGACTCGCCCTAATTTTATCTTCCACAGGTTTTTACTCCAACCTTTTCACGTATATTCTCATTTCGTATCTTGTTTCTAACAGTAAGATAAAGAAGAGAGACAAAATAATTATGGAAATCAAAATATGAAAAACCTCAAGCTTCCACCATTGTTTATAGAGGTAAGGCCAAAGCCTTTTTATGAGGAGGCCAAAATCAATGTCCCAACTTATGATGGTTCTATCAATGTCAAGAAGTTGGATGCATGAGGGTATATCAAATGGAGAAATATTTCAATCTCTATGATTATACTTCTCAATAGATAAGCTTTTTTTCGCACATCCAAAATCACCAAGTATGCATTGACATGGTACCAAGCCCATCTTCAAATTGGGAAAGAAGAAATCACATGGGACCACTTAAGAGCATTCTTCACTAAAAATTCTACCTTATAGGGTATGAAGAAGATAGGTGTAAGCAGTGGGAAGAACTAAATCAAAGAGAAGGCAACCTTTTCGCACATCAAGCTTCACCAAACATGCATGAGTACATTATGGAGTTTAGAAAACAAGCTCTCAACCTTGACATTGCTTAGAGGAGATGTTACCGCTTAAGGAGTACACTTCTGTGTTAAATTCACACATCTCTAAAAGCTTCGACTCTTCCCTGTCCAAAGGATAAGTGTTTTGGTCATTGAATTAAAGAATAGTATCCATGGAAAGAAACCTCTCAACTTGCAAGGAGGGTCTTCAAAGCTAAATGAGAAAAAAAAAGACCAACAAAAAGTAATTCTTAGAAGATAATCTTAAATTATTCTCTTCTAGATCATTTTTTTATCATGGCCAAGCTGGAAATAAAAAAGGAAAATGTTAGAAACTTCATTCAGAATGCTTTCATGAGAATTTCAAGAAAGAAGAGGGTAAGAGGAGAAAGATGATGATTTCTCTTAACACAACTCAAACATTGGAGTCCATCCTACATCCAAACTCAAGTCTATCATTGATGGCAGGTCTGAAGAGGGATAGACAAGAGCCTATCATCTAACATCGATGTATGTGAGGAACTTTTCACCTTGTGCATACAAGTTAGGCAAGAGGTGGTATATGCCATCATAGATATAGGAAGTCAAAACAATCTAATCTCTTCAATTCTCATTCAACTACATTGCTTGAAGACAACTCCTCACCACAAATATCTTTCTCTCTCTCTCTCTCTATCAATTGCATCCATACGAACATAGAGAGGACTGATCAACAATGCCTACTCCAATTTGACATCACCTAGGAACACATAAATGAAGTGTGTGTGAATTAATCCCTATTGAGATGTGTCAAGTTATTTTTGAGAGCCCTTATTTATATGATCGGTATGCAATCTAATTCGAGGGGGCTCAATAATATCAATTGACAAGCAGGACCAAAACTGCACCATGAATCTGATTGGCAATATTCAACCCAAAGACATAAAGGCGATGTGACAAGTTTAAAAAAAGAAGAAACAATCAATGGTTCCAAAAATTTCAGCCTTATATTCACAACTAAAAAAGCAAGATGGTAATGCTCCTTCTCGTATTCTTGGGAAGGAAGAAAAGAAGCATTAATAATTCGTAGGAGAATATGCAATAATCTTCCAATAATCAAAGAATCTTTCACTACAAATGATGTTGGAGAAGAAACATGAGAATGTGTTCCTACTAAAGGAAAAGATGGCAAGCAAGGCATCCGTCTTATCTTAGCCCAGAATCAAGAATCATTTTCATTTGAAGTCAACAAGAATGAAACTAACACATCAGATTATACCAATGAAGCAACCTTATAAAAAATGAATGACCGAAATCTTCTCCTGTTAACCATAATGTATGGGGAAATAAATAATGGCAAAAGGTAAGTATTGAGTGCATCATCTGCCAAGTGGTAAAATTAGGAACAAGGATCAATCATATTTCCACATTCATTTATATTCACATAATTGAATCTACTTCTCAAAAGGGTATGTATGATCTGAAAAAACTATTTTTAATTGATTTATTTCATGATGACCTTTGCATTCCTTACCCTCACCTTTATGATAAAGTTCCAAGAAAAGTGCAATGGAGAGTTCAACATAAAAATTGGTTAATAATGCTTATATTCAAGTCATTAAGGATATGTATGTAGGAGTTGTTGTGTTCAAACACAAGGTGGTGTGACTAGGTTTTTCCTATTTCAGTTGGATTACATCAAGGATCAGCCTTAAGCCCATATTTTTTTGCTTTAGTCATGGATGTTTTCACTAGACATTTGCAAGAGGTTGTACCCTAGTGTATGCTTTTTGCTGATGATATTCTTCTTGTTATAAGACTAGAGATGGAGTTGAAGGTAAACTTGAATTATGGAGGTCAAATTTAGAGTCTAAAGACTTTCGTTTGAGTAGAGCTAAAATTGAATATATGGAATACACTTTTAGTAATAATAGATCTCGTGGGGGGATTGTGACGATGGACGATCAAATCATTAATAAGAGTACACATTTTAGATATCTTGGGTCTATTGTATAGAATGATGGTGAAATAGATGGGGTTATTTTTAATAGAATTCAAGTTGGATAGTTGAAGTGGAGGAATGCATCAGGCTTGTTGTGTGATAGAAAAATCCCTCTCAAACTTAAGGGGAAATTCTATAAGATGGTAGTGAGACCTGCAAAGCTTTATGGTGTAGAATGTTGGCCATTAAAAGAGAATCATAATATTAAGTTAAGTGTTAAAATAATAATAATAATAATAATAATAATAAGTTAAGTGTTGCAGAGATAAGGATGCTCAGGTGGATGAGTGGCTTTACTCTTAAAGACATGAATGAGCATATACATGAAAAGGTTGGAGTAGCTCCAGTGGATTATGAGATAAGAGAGAGTCGTCTTAGATAGTTTGTTCACATAAAACGACGACCTTCCGATGACCCGTTAGGAAAGTAGATGTATTATATTTGACTTATGTTAAGAAAGGTAAAGATAGACCTAAAAAGATTTGGTTAGAAAATATTAGAAATGGCATTTCTTTATTAGATTTAGATGATAATTTGACTCTTAACATGACACAATGGAGAAAAGGATTCATATCGGCGACCCCACATAGTAGGATAACGGCTTGTTGTTGTTGTTGTTGTTGTATTAATATATTCGTGTATCTTTAATGAAGGGAGTCCATTTATCTACTTCAAAAACTTTTTTTAACTAATGTT